GAAAAAATGGCACTAGTGGTGCCGGTGGCGGGGGAGGGGGAGCCAGCCGGGTAATCGTTCGCAGGCCTCGGAACTAAGGTAAGCAGCAAAGAGCTACTCTCATGCAGAGGGACATCATGCACATCGTGAAGCGTGACCATGAACCATGACCGCCGTTTGAGAGGTTGCCCAATTGGACGAGCTAGATAGGTCATGATGGAGCGGGAGAAGGGGGGGGGGGCATGGCCGGAATCTGCCCCTCATGTTTCTAGTCGCGAACTACTTAGTGTGAGTGAATGCTCAAGTTTTTTTTCTGCTTCCTTCTGAATCTTGTGAACCCCCGGATATTGACGTATGCCTCGTCATCTTTTTCTGCGCGGGGAGTCTAACATGGTGAACGGTTAGCTTTGTGGATACCTGCCGTGCTACCGAGTACAGACTCTCTGGCCTTCCACTTCTTGGAGACGAGGGCGTTTTGTTGGAGATGCCAGCTTCCGTACGATGCCAAGAGATGAAATAGCTGGCGAAATGGGCGATAGAAATAAAGGACGTTTGCCAAAAGACGAGGGCTTTCTACATTATCACTCAGCGTACTACTGGCAATGAACTTGTTCGGAAGTTCAACGGGTAAAAACCAAAAAGCTGAGGATGGCAACGCACTCCATGGCGTCATTTAGCCACAGCGAGCGCCGTAGGAAGACGGAGCTGCTAAAAAGCCATGGTCCAGCCCTGGACGAACCAACGGCACAGTGAAGATGCAAGAAACTTGAACGGAGCTTCTGGTCCTGATCGACGGTGACGATGCGTTTCCCCGTTTCCCTCCCTCCCCACAAGGGTCCTGCAAGATGAAGGGAAGGGTTTGCTTATCCAGAAGAACCTCAGTCGCGAAGCTGGCACAAGGAGTGGGATTTTCCGGCCGGGCCAGCTCAACTTTTTCGAATCCTCGAAGAAACGTCGGGAATCATCTTTGCACGGAGCTTGTTTTGAGACGATCGGTTTCCCGGTCCCGCCTCTCGCCCAGGGTGTTCCAGCAACTGTCATCATCCGAAGAAAGCCAGCCAGTTGCTGGAGCATTTCCCAGGGACACTCGTGGGTCGATCGTCAAATAATGGGGCTCTTCCCGTCTCCAGTTGACGGTTGATAATGACAGTGCATTGCTAGATAACGGAGCCGTCTGCGCTGGTTCCAATTCTCTGTAACTGAATGACCTCCACTTGGATGTCGTCAGTTGAAAGCCATCCGTAACTCTGACGGAAAGGGAGCGTTCTGGCCGTCTGAAAAAAGAGCCGGGCTGAGCGCGAACGGTGGGAGGGAGCCAAGACCGTGACAGCGGCCGTCAGAGGCCGTCGGAGACAGCTTCCGACACAAGCCATCTCTTCATGTTTAAGCAATTGTAGGAGAGGCATTTGTTCATGGCCCGAGGGCCAGGACAATTGAGAAATGCCGCTCCGAGAAAATCCCTCGAGCATGCCCGCATGCGCTCCGGCGCCCGTCCAGATGCTTCCGAGTTGCTAGAGATGGAAGCCCGTGAGGCGGTGCCGTTTAGATCCATGTGATGGTCCTGGACAAGCGCCCGCAGTCACAGTCCGTGAAGCCGGAAAATCCAATTAAATGGATCATGTCTCTGGTTGTTGCGGTGAAGGATGAGTACGTATTTCAAAGAACAACCGTGTGGTCCAATACAGGGTAAGCTAGTAGAGGAACCACAGACTGAACAGAGAGACTGAGAGAGAGAAAGCGCATTGCGAGGGATCACGATGCTCCAATGGCAGGGTTGTCCAAAACGGCTCCCTCTCTTGTGCATGTGTTTGTGTGGGAAATGTTGTATCGAGATCCAAACGGACGAGACACCGTCGTCTGGCCAGCTGCAGGCCGGTGCCCTTTCCATGCAGAGCTTGCAGCATCTCGTGGTCTGGATGGTGGGGCTGGTCTTGGAAGACAATGACACTGGACTTTCGGGGGCGGGAAGAGGTTAAAGGCTTTCAGGGCGAGTCGAGGCGCACTGTAGACTTGTTGTGTCGGTAGCCATAGATGCAATATGGTGCGGTAAGGTCCAGGTATCTCGCTGGGCCTCTCTTCCCGGTTCACGCATCCGGTTCCTGGCAAAGGTACTTGACGAAATCGAGAAGGTACCTGCTCTCGGGACCGCCCATGCCCCGGGTCTGGCCCGCCTGAGGCTGGACGTCTGGGGGGTCGGTGGCCATGGTCAGCGGGTGACTTTTCGAACTTTTCTCAGTGGACAGTTTCGATTGGGGCGCAGGCGGGCTCGACCTTGGACCAGACGACGCCCTGTGGAGAAGCCGTCCACTATGGGCGAGGACCACGGTGGGTATCCTGGGACCGGCTGCCCTGCCCGCCGCTGGATGAGTCCAGGGTCGACTTGTCAAGAGGACGGGAAGCTGGCCACGTCTTTGTTACCTTTGGACGTTTGAGCAGCCAGGGGAAGCAATGTTGTTGATTTTGATGTGTGTGTGTGTGTTCCGAGGTCGTACAGAGAGTGACTCTGAAATTAGAACGTGGTGAAGAAGAAGAATGCAAGATGGCCGGATGTGCGTGAACGTTGCGCCAAGTCGTGTCTGTTGGAAGACTGGAACGAAGGAACCCCCCGTGTCCCAGCTGGACATTCCCAGGGCGCAGGTGACTTGGGACGGGATGGGTTTCGCGTTGCTGATTCTAGATTTCGACGCTGTCGCGAGCACACACAAATGGGAAGCAGAGCACGTTTGATCTGGTCGAGGCACTGGCAGGTGACGGCCGAGGGAACCCACAGTCACAGTGCCCTTTTTTGTGTTTTCCCCTTCCCCGTCTTTTGGTGCTATTTGTAGTTGAGTGCCTCGGAATCCTTGGAAGCGGGTTTGCGGACGGCCGGCGAATTTGGCGAGTCGCTGAATCTCAATCAGGTCTGTAGACTGTTTTGGTTGCAATTGGTGCTGTCCTTTGCTGGGATCTTCACACTCAATTGAGCCTCTGACGCCTCTTTCTCAGAGTGGCAGCGGGGATCAGAATAGGCGTGGATGTGGATTGGAAAGGTAGGTACTTGGTTCGATCGATCGATTGGGGGTGGGATGATGGAGAGTTTCCTGGTCAACTTTCTTCCCGCTGGCCCTGGGTCTGTTGAACTGTTCCTGTCTGAAAGTAAGGGCAAACAAAGCGAGTCAACAAGAAAAGAACAACTCACCTCTTGCTCATATCAGCTAGCTGCTTGCTAGACGCGATGTTGCTTTGTCTGGTCCATAGGTAATGTACTCCGTAATAGCTTGCCGTTCGTATCATTGAGAGGAAGACCGTCCCCTGACGCTGAAAAAGAGAAGAGGTACCTTGCTGGATGGGAGGTACTGTAGGTATCCGTACATTCCATCAAAGTACACGCCCTCGTGGGAAGGTAAGAAAAAAGACTCTGACTTTGATTATTGCAACTTACACGACGGAGTACAAACTCGAGGGAACCCAGGTGCGCGCCTTCGTCGAGCACCTCAGTCTCCAGCGCATGCCGTATGATGCATTAGTGGGCAAATGGCGGGGTACTGTGGATTTCCCAAAAACAGATCATTCGGCACCGTGTCAAATCCTTAGAGAGACTTACTGTATGACAGCAAGCCCTCAAACCTGCAGCTCTCAATGCGAAGAGTGCCACCAAGTGCGCATCGCCGGCACAGCGTCAACTCGACAGCCAGGTACTCGAGGTACTCGTGTACATGTTCTTCTGCTTTTCCCGCTGCACCGGCATCGAGCATCCCTGCTTTTGTTCCATGGAATACGTCGCTTGTGACTGGCTAGGAGAGGGCAACAGCACCGTCACCGAACCAGCTGGTTTCGTAAAGCCAGAATATAAAAGCTCGAGGGTCAAGGTGACTTTCTCCTGCTTGCTGCCCCCCTGGATTTGCCCGTCATATCATCTGTTCAATGCGTTTACTCAGCGTACAAATTAACTCTCTCACCATCTTCCACTTGCTCTTTACCTCGCCAGTGTTACAATAACACCAATTCCACATAGCATCACGAAATAGCCTAGCTCCTTGAGGTCTCACTTCCACCACCTCAATTCACCTTATCTCTTATCTCTCACCTTAAGCTGTAAGTGGACTCCGCCCTCCCAGACCGCAGTCGTCATTGTTGGTTTCCCACACAATTTCCCTTCCTCTCCCGCACCATACGGCAACGCCAACAATCCTTCCCCCGGTTTGCTGAGCTTGGTTTACTACCACCACCGGTAACCGTACTCCTGTTCCGCCCACACAACCCTCCTCTTCCTCCTCCAAGTGGTCGTCCAATACTTTGCTGCACATTGTCAGCACACCACCACCAAAACCATAACCATCGCCCTGCTTGATGCAGGTGTTGGGGAAGGACAGGGCAGGCAGGCCCACCTTGCGCTTTTCAGCCGGGGCGGGTTCAGCTATCACCACCTTTTCGGTGTGTGCGAGTCTCCTATAATGGAGATCGCTGGAGGCTTTTACCTGCTTGTGGTGCAAGAGCCTCCCTCGTGTACCTTACCTTACTCGTGATATGACACCGTCTTATCATCGGGAAATCACTTACCTTATCAACAAAGATTGAGCGTCAAAACTCAAACCCGCTGTTCCCAGCAAGTCTGCATTCTTCCGGTCGTCCATCCGGTGCTTGTCTTGTCTTGTCTCCCCGCCCCTGCCTGGCTTGTTTTGCTTGTCAAATTCACCCTATCCCACTTTCTCCAGTCTTGTTATCTCGCCTTTAGCTGCCACCCACACTAGAAAACAAGGCGGCTACGAATACACACCAACTGCCTGAACAAGGGGGAAGCGAGCACGTTCTGTTCTTTGCTTTGACACACCGCCTCGAATCCATGTACTAATTGCAGCTTCTGCGCTCTCCAGGCTCCCTATTACCTTTTGCGCTCTCTTAGTCGCGCCTAGACCACGCCTAGACCAAAAGCTCGTCCAGCCCCGACTACTACACCCAGCAGCATCTCCGATCATCTTGAATTCGGCTGCGAGTCGTTCTATTGCTCTTTCTTACGTATTCGAACAAACCACACAGTCAAAATGTCTACCGCATCAGTACAACAACCGGTCATCCCTCCCCGACCTTCTAGGAGTCAGGACAAGGAGGAGAACACCAATACCTCGTCTCTCCCCAAGATTCCTCCTCGTCCCATCAAGCGTTTCGACCGCTCCGTCTCCCCGAATCCCGATCGATACGCGCCCTCTCCATTGAACGAGAGCCCCTTTTCAAAGAGCCCCAAGGCTACTCGTTCCTCGCCGAGTAATGGCTTCCTCTCTTCTCACGACCCCATTCATCACCGCCCCGGTAGCGTGTCTATGCCTTCCGTTGGCGAGGAGGGCAACGAATACGACGCCATCAACGATGGATTTGTCAAGCCGCCCCCCAAGGCACCTTCATCTCCTGAGCACACCCGCTTCGCTGCGGAAGACCTCAAGCTTCACGCTCCCAAGCCCACTGTTCCGGCTCAGAGTGCCAAACAGAGAGTTATGGCCGTGACCCGTACCGATTCGGATAAGGCTGCCTCTTATGGCATTGGCAAGCCCAGCAGTGACGACACCAGACCCAGCAGTCTGAGGAAGAAGGCAAGCTCAAGTGCCCTGTCTCAAAAGTCAGAAAGTGCCTTCGGCGATGAGGAGCATGGTATCCCCGAGATTGGCCAGCGTGTTCCCATGAACCCCAACCTCGGTGACGTCCAGGCCCCATCTCCTGCTCCTGGGTCTGGCGCTGCCCCCGAGAGCCTGAGGTCGGGGACTCCGCGAAACCACTCCCGCAAGCATAGCTCGCGTGGTTTCAACGAGCTCCCTCCTGGCAGCTACGGTCTCCATGGCCACAGCTCAGCTTTGCCCACCGACAAGTTTGAGAAGGCTTGGTACGACAAGCACCCCGATTTCCTGAAGAAGGACTGCAAGCCTTCTCTCCACGACCGTCAAAACGACTACGCCATGAGCAGCACTGATCTGAACAAGATTGTCAAGGAGACCCACAGCCGTGGTTCTGGCATGGGTAAGTCGTGCAGACATGATCGCAAGTGTAGAGACATTTACTTATTTGAATAGGAACCTCCTCTTCATATGTTGGCACCCCCAGCGAGGAAGTTGGATATCAGGCTTCTGCAGAGTACACCTCTCGCATTTCCTCCCCTGAGCTTCAGCGCATCAAGTCTCCTCAAAGTCCTTCGAAGGAGTCTCATCCCCAGGTCTCTGTGTCTTCTCCTGACAACGCTACCGGAAGCGATGACGGTACCGTCCATGTCGACGAATCTCACAACCGCCGCAGGAGTTTTGTGTCGCACGACCCTGGACACGAGAACAAGTACAATGCGCCGATTCTGGCCGAAGACGAGTCTGGAGACGTACATCCGTACGATCTCCAGCCCGCTGTCGAGCCCCCACCAGAGCGCTCCGGCAGTGCCTTTGAGATAGAGAAGCCGAACCGTCCCACAAGTCGACCCACTAGCATTTACAATAACAACCAGTCACAAACCGATCTGGTACACACCCCACTTGAGGATGTCGAAGAGTACGAGCCACTCTTTGACGAGGAGCGCCCGGAGGCCAAGAAGACCGAGGCCGAGGCAGCCAGCTCGAAGCCTCGTCACAAGTTCCCAAGCAAGGACGTCTGGGAGGACGCCCCCGATAGCGTCAACTACACCGCCGAAGTTTCGACCCCGGAGCCCACAGAATCAGAACGCCCTTCCTCCAGACGCCGTTCTGAACTTCCCACAGAGAACCCCGCCTTGGAGTTTGCTCGCAGACAAGAAGAACTCGCAGAGCAGGAAGGTCGTGGGGTAGACGCGAAGCAGATGAAGCCAGTGCCTGCCGCCCTCCAGAAGACCAAGGAAGAGGCCCGCCCAGCCATGTCGAACCGGTTTCCCAGTCGCGACGTTTGGGAGGATACTCCAGAAAGCGCCTTGCACGAGGCTATAGTGGATACACCCGAGCCAAAGGACGAGTCCCCGGTGGAAAAGCCGTTTGTGCCAGCACGCCCGCAGAAGAAGGGTTCACAATCGAGCGCTACAGCAGAACCACCTTCCATCCCTGAGCGGCCAAGAAAACAGAACTCGACAAGTGAGGATAAGGCTAAGCCAGCCGTCTCGGAGAAGTCAAAACCTCAAATTCCTGCTCGCCCTACCAAGACCCTTACCTCCGGCGTCGACTCCAAGGAGCAAGACTCTGCTCCCAAGCAGAAGCCAGCTATTCCTGGCAAACCTGCGGGAGGCAAGATTGCAGCGCTCCAGGCCGGCTTCCTGTCTGATCTTAACAAGCGCCTTCAGTTGGGACCCACAGCGCCGAAGAAGGAAGAACCCCCGGCGGCGGATGTTGCCGAAGAGAAGGAGAAGGCGCCCCTTTCTGATGCTAGGAAAGGTCGTGCTCGTGGCCCCCAGCGTAGGGCTCCGGCGGCGAAGAGCCCAGCTCCGGCAGCCGTTGAGGCCAAGTCCGGTCCTACGCTCTCATTCTCTCCTCTCAGGATCTGCTGGAGCATTGGCGACAGTGGTGTTCTAGAGGTCGACGACGGTTCCAAAGACGAACCCACGAAGGAGACAGCTCCCGAGGTCGCCAGCACAGCTGCAGAGACAGAAGAGATCAAGCCTGAAGTCTCGGCCGAGACAGAAGCGCCCGAGGTGCCCGCCGCTACGGAACCTGCTGCAGAGACTGCGGAAGTGGCCGAGGCTGAGGCTCATAAGCCTCTGGAAGCTGAAGATGAGGCTGAGGCGCCGAAGGAGGTTGTCAAGACTTTGGCGGCCAACACCGCCGGCGAACCTGTGGTTGAGGCGACTCTCGAGAAGGGGGCCGACATCGAACCTGTTGATGTGAAGCAAACCGGAGGCGAAGCGGCATAAAATGTCGCAGAGTGGCCGGTACGAGAGTGAGTGATTGGTGTGTCACGATGCAGAAAAAAACAGCACTAGACCGGCATTCTGTTGGCGTAGAGTTTTCTTCTTCGGTTTGATGGTTTTCGGGTCATCCAACTATACTTCTACGTTCCCTAACTTTGCCGTATGGCTTTGCAGCGTTTTGTTGAATAGGTAGCAATTTGATACTGCGTTTGTTGTCTCTTTCCGATGGAAGGACAGCCTCGCCTTACGCGTCGGCTTGTGGATGATCACATACATAGCCTGGTGCGTGATGTTGTCAAGTGTTTGCGAAGGTAATGATGTAAGACTAAGCACAGCTCCTGATATGAAAGACAATATGGCCGACACATGGGATGAGGTACTACTGCCTTGTGCAACTCTGAGTGTCCCGTGTGGAAAATAGGCCATGCCGTCGAGGGTAAGCAGATTTGTAGTTGTGGTGTGACGCTGTATTTCGCATGCTTGTGATTGTAGTCTGTGGAGGGAAGTGCTATCTCTAGGAGTATCTCTGGGAGATGTTACCTTGCTGCTGGGCCTTGAGATCTAAGCTGAACTAATACATATATCTAGCATAGAAGTAGAATACGATTCAATTCGGTGTCATGTCACATTATTTTCTCAATCGCCGGAGCATTGACCCTGTGACTTGCGCTCGACGCAAGTATATGCGATTTCGTCAACATTTGAGTGGTTTTTGTGCCTACGTATTTATATAATATGCACTAAGCCGTTGGCTCGCACAGCCTCACGTCTGTGTTGATTCGTGACTGATGCCCGGAGACAAGATACTGGTGTTTTCCAAGGTGTTCTCAAGGATGAACAACTCGCCTGGGTACCTACCTACCCTACCTACTGAGGAGCAATGATACAAACGATTCGTGAAGATCACCACCGGGAGAGCTGGACCTTTTTATTTTCCAAAAACCTCTTTCAACTAGTGCACCCTCGGAATCAACCAGCGATTCGGGGAAATGCGCCATTATATACGTACAAACCACAATTATCAGCATATATTTATTCTACATGTTCAAACCGTAGAATTAAGCGCTCGCCTATAGGCCGCGCGGTATACGTATCATCCTGCTCGATACCCGTATCATCAACCACATGCGTCGTGAAATTCGTCCAGATTGCTGCAGCTATGAGTTTCATCTCTGTAGAGATGGGGAAAAGTAACATGTACAAGTCAGTAAAAAGCTAGATTTTCCCTGGGGCTTTTTTCTTCTTTTTTCTTCTTTTTTTCCTTCTTCTATTTTGATAGATGGAAGGGAAGGGGGGAAAACTCACCATTCATTGCAAAATTCGACCCAACACACATCCTCCCACCGCTCCCGAAAGCCCAGAAATAGCGCAACATCTCCCTCCGCTGCGCCTCGGTGGTATGCGACGCGAGCCAGCGGGTGTGGTCCCACACCTCCGGGTCCGGAAAGACGGCTGCGTTGCGGTGGAGGGCGTACCCCAGCGCCGCGACCCGGACGCCGCCGGGGACGTGGAAGTCGCCGAGGCGGCAGGGCGGGTGTGAGTGTGGGGTCTGGCGGGGTTCCGGGCCGGGAATCGGGGCGTGGAGGCGGAGGGTCTCCATTATGACCGCGTGAAGGATGGGGAGGGCGTCGACGTGTTTTGGGTCGGGGAGGGAGGAGGGCGGTAAAGAAGCTGCGTCTGTTGCTGTTGCTGGCGCCATTTTGAGATCTGGTGAGAGAGTGAGGAGTTCTTGGCGGAGGGACGTTTGGAGGTCTGGGGATCGGGAGAGGTGCCAGGCGAGGTAGGTGAGTGCTATCCCCGCCGTCTCTTGGCCTGCCAGGACCTGGTCTAGGATCTCTGAGGCGACTGATTCGTTCTTTTGGAGGATCGTCGTCGGGTAGAGAATGGAGTCTTTGCCGTTTACGCGGCGCTCTTTCTCGATGCCGGCTTCCATTGCGCAGAGGACGACAGGCTCGTCCGCCACGTCTCTTTTCTCTTCTTGACCTTTTTCTTTTTCTGCTGTAGCATCTCCCTCATTCTGATGACAACGAACGTACTCCCTCGCCCCCTCGCAAAGCCGCCAGTTCCAAGCCCAAATCTCGGCGTTGGCGTCGTCCACCCACGACGGGTACAGCTTCCACCACCCCATCCCTAGCCGGTTAGCAAGCGCGTTCAGGCGCGGTGTCTCCTGCGGCCAGAAGCCGTGGCTCGCGCGCGCGAGGTAGAGCTGAAGCCAGTGGTCCCTGTAGGCCTTTTTGCGGAGGAAGTCTGTGCTGTTGCGGAGGCCGAAGGTGTAGGCTGTGATGAAGTCCATTGTGGAGGCGAGGAAGGTGGAGAAGACGTCGATGCCGGCGCCGGGTGAGGGTGAGGGTCCGGGGTTGCTGCCGGTGTTGGTGTTGGTGTTGGTGTTGGTGTTGGTGTTGGTGCTGGTGCTAGTGCTAGTGCTGGTATTCTTGGTGTGTCTGGATGATGAGGCGGAGAGTAAAGGGAGGAGACGGCCAAAGAGGATGGCGCGGGCTTGGGCTTTCGCTGGCTCCGAGGCGTGGATGAAGGATTTGGCGTAGGCGTTTGAGACCATGCGTTTGCGGAGGGAGTGAGGTTTTGAGGAGAGTGTTGAGAACATGTTTGGGACGCTATTGGAAAATGTGTTAGCGAAAAGGAAGCTATTACCAACAGCATTCCATACTAGATGGAAGCAGGCTCACCCGTAGTTGTCAAAGATGGAGTACCACTGGTCCTTCTCGAAGCCACCTTGGTACACTGTCTTGAGGGCATCGTAGCCGTCGACGCTGAGCTCATTAGGGCCGATGCGCACGACGGGACCGAGTTCGAGGTGCGCCTTGTGGAGGGTGCGGTTCTGGCGGTTGTATTTCCGCGTGTATAAGATCCAGAGGGGGGAGATGTGACATGACCAGTGTGGAGCCGGGATCTTGGACAGGGGAGAGAGTAAGAGAGGTTGGAGGATGAGGGTGTAGAGAAGCCATGCTGCTGCGCTTGCAATTGCGACGGGAACCAAGTTGAATCCCATAATGATGGGTGAAGCTTGTTAGTAAGTTCCCAATTAGAAGATGACTCGATTGTTGATCTGATTCAGTGATTCAGCTTGGGGTCTTTCGTGTAAGTCAGGAAGCTTGGATTCATTCATTCATTGAGAAGGGGTATTGGTTCAGGTCGATCAAGCCCAAATTTAAGAGAATCAACAGCATTCCCTCCGATATCTGGCAACTGGGCCTCGAGTGACAAGTACGCCCTACGCCCAACTCATTGGCAGTCTAGAGGAAGTCAAAGTGGTTGTTATCGTTGAGCTTATCACTCCCCTCGCCGGTGTTATCTTGGAGTTGCTCTGAGTTGTCATTGACCTGCACTAACAGCGGGGTCATCTGCATTTGTCACTTGGTGTCTCATAAACTCGGACCAGGCCCAAGGTACGTGCGTACATTACCTATCCATGGGGTGTGAGCAGAATTGGCGATCTGCCTTAAAAACACGCCCTGAGCTTACGGTCGCTGTAGCCGCTTTACATGCAACTACCGGGGGACTCTGTGTCATAGACAAAACCCACCAATCCTAACTAGGCCTGACTCCAGGCTGCCACTGCACGGTGCCTGGTCATTGTGACTCTTTTGTACTTCATATGTGGAACTGGCTGACAACTTCAACGTCAACCAATCTCTTACAACTCTTTCAATAGCTTTTGGTTGTTGCCATCCCCAGGATTTGATGAAAGACTTTTAGTGTATCTATACAAGAAGAATCCATGGTCTAGTACTAGATTTTTTTTTCGTACAAGTTGCGTCACAGAATCACCCACACTACCTTAGCTAGAAAGACTTTGTCAACTCCCTTCTCACTTTTCCCATCCATCACATACACATCTCACTCGTCAGTACGGATATCTCAACACCAACCCCCCTCTCTCACAGCCCATCCCCCTCCCATCATATCTCAATTGGCATTCCTCTTACACCCCATGTCACTCAGATACCAAACATCAAACCAAATAAATCGAGTCCTCAGAAGAGACTCTTAAAACCAGGATCGAAATGTTTGACCAACTCCCTGACGACATCGTCTTGGAGATCGTCTCCCATCTCAGTACCGCCCGCGACGTAGCCCGTCTGGCATCGTCGTGTAAGCATCTCCACTCCCTTCTCAACGAGGATGGCTGGCGCACCTTCGTCAAGGCCTGCTTTCCCCTGCACTACCTGCCACTAGGCAAGACTCCGCCCAAATGGAACGAGCTGGCAAACGCCCTCACCCGCCAGGCCCGCGCATGGGATATGAAGGCATTCCAGACCACCGCCTACACGGACGACCGCCGCCGGGACGGAAACTACTTCACGGGCTTCACCAACGCGGGTCGTCCCTTTTACCCCGTCATCGATGCTCGCCTCGTCTTTGACAAGAGCTGGGAGCTCGCCACGTGGGGCGCTGGCGAGGACGTCGTGGGCCGCTTCAGACCTCACAACAGCCGCGGCGAGTCTGACGCCTGGTTCCGTATGGAGGGCAAGACGAACGGCTACGAAGCGGGCGTGGGCGACGTCACCGCCATTCACCTCACCGAACCCAACGGGAAGCTGGGTATCCTCGTCGGCAGGGCGAATGGGGATTTGCAGCTCGTCTCGGCGGCTCCCGGTAGCGCCGGCAAGGCCCTCTCGACCTTCAAGATTCCTACGCCCACTGGAGGTCTTGAGGCTACCACGTGGACATCCATCGGGTCCATTGATACCCTGCCGAACGAGACGTCAGTGATCGCGGGCAACCGTGCCACCGTCAGTCTCTTCTCCTTGGACGCAGACGAGACCGCCGGCGCCGCCGCTCTCCCTCTCGACTCGCAGACCTTTGTCATCCCAGGCCAAGGAGACAGGAAACAGTTCATCCACTCTGCAAAGGCCCTCAACAACGACACCATCATCTGCGCCCTCTCCAACGACACGGACCCGATTCGCTATCTCACCGTCACCCCCTCAGGCTTCACTCCCAACCTCGCCTCCAAGAACCACTCCCTCCTCGCCTCCCGCGGCATCGACACGGACAAGAAACAAACCGTCCGCGCCATCCAGCCCGTCAACCCGGGCCCCACAGGCGTAGGCCAAACGAACCTCCTCCTCAGCGCCTGGGACGACGGCACCATCCGCCTCCTCGACATCCGCACCCCATCCGCCCACGACGTCCTCTACCGCGACATGTACCAGCCCTTTGAGACGCACTCTTCCCTGCTGACTTACGGCTCGGACCACTTCGTCGCGGGTAGCAACGAGCTCGAGGCCCTGAAAGTATTTGACTTTCGGTGGTCCAAGTCTTACCACCACTCCGCCGCCCTGCCGTGCTGGTCCGGCACGCCGTTCCCGGATCCTTTAAGGGGCACTAGCAGCCGCTCCCTGAGCATGCGCGGCGTCGGCTGCGATCACCCGCGCGGGAGGGCCTGCGTCTGGCATGAGTACTCCCGGCGGGACTACTACCGCCCCAACTACCGCTTCCATGTGATGCCCTTCCGGGACGCGGCCCGTTCGTCGACGAGCCGTGTTTTCTCTCTGGCGAAAGCGTCGGACGCGTCGGACTCGTTCTACGTCGGTCTCGCGGGCGCCGTGGCCGAGTTTGCTACCACCATCCCGGGGGAGGCGGAGCAAGACGAGGTCGCGGCCTCCGTGGCTTCGGCGGCGGCGAAGAGGGGCTGGAGGGCGCGGGCGTCGCATTTCAGCTTTGCCGAGACGGATGACGGGTTGTTGACGCCGGGCATGTCGATGAGTACCTTTATGCCGAGGCTTGCGCAGCGGTTCGGGGATGAGGTTGGTGCGCCGCAGTTTCGGGAGTGGTGGAGTAAGACGCCGCCCAAGACGGCGGCGTGGCATCGATGGGATCCGAGCTTTTGGCGGCCTACGCACTTTACGTTTTGAGAATTGGAAAAAACAGAAAGATTGTTAGGGAGTTTTGATAGTTGAGAGAAAGGGATTAGTAAAAGAATACGGAAAGAGGGAAAAAGTTATGGCAAAAAGGATTAGCCGCGGTCGATAGAAAAAAATACCCGCATAGTCTTGATATGACCGGGCCAACCATAGGACTTAGACAGAGTTTAGAATATAGTTAAATCCACATAGATATACAATGATCACCAAGAATCAATCACCTTATGATATTGGCCGCAGTAACTTGCACGCATCTATAGTGACTCATCCGTATTGCTGCCTTATCACATCCCCCTTCCTTCTTTCCCTCGACCATCGCAAAAGGGGAATAGATCATTGAAACAACAAAAAGATCAGGGAAAGGAGGAAAAATTCAATAGTAATTCATATATATATATATAGATAGATAGGCAGAGTTAGATAGAAGGGGAGTAAAAAGAATGCAAAAGCCCAGCCCCCTCACGGGGGGCCTACGAAAACCACCAGGCTCACTCTTTACGTACTATTCCTCAATTCTACCGATACTAGTGATTTTTCACGAGACTCGAATTCGTGACCCATGGGAGCGGGGCAATTCAAACGAGGACATTCCCCGCCACGCCATGGGCCTTGGTGACCATTCGACGTCTTTGGATTAATTGTCTACCACCTCCTTCCTCTGCCATAGTTGTGGCCTGATGGAGCCTTGAGCAACGGTACAGGCCAGACAGAATACACTGATATTCATACAGGTATACAACAAGCATGACTTTACAATAATAATCAATTTACAGTGTCGACCGCAGATAATGTGCCATTACATGTAAGAGTAGTACACATTACCAACGGCTATTCCGCTCACTACCCTGCCCCGCATTGCCCCTTCTTTCCCGCTCGAGCATTGCGTCGAACTCGGCCTGAGCCTTATCCTTCTCCGCGTTCCTCTCCTTGTCAGCGGCATCATATGCATAGTAATCGGCACTCTTGGCCTCGTCCTGTTGGCTCTGGTTGGCATTCCCAGAAGCTCGCGGGGGCTGTCTCGAGGCTTGTCGCAGACGATCCCACGCTGAGCCGGTGCTAGGGGAGGATGATGCTTGGGCTCTCGCGGTGGGTGAAAGGGGCGATGCGTCGTCATAGTCCAAGTCGTCTGAGGGTCTGCTGCTGCTGCTTCGCTGGGGAGTCGAGCTTTGCTGGCCGGAACCCCATCCCGATCGGCCTTCGGAAGATGGTGGATCTCTCTGGTAGCTTGTCGGAGAAGAATAGTTGGATTCCGAAGGTAGACTGTACCCTCCCGTGGAGCTCGAAGCCGACAGTGTCTCGTAGTCCCTGTTCTGCGCTGACCCGTCGTCCCCAGTGCTGCCTTCGCCCCTCTTCTCGAGGATTGCATCAATGTGGGCCAGTATCCTTCGATACTCGTCAATCCTTTTCTGTATAAGCGGAGTTGTTTCCCTGATCTTTTCATCCGACTGGGGCAACGCGGCCAGCGACTTTTCAAGTTGACTGATGGCTTCCGCAGTCCGCTGGCGCTGGCGCCTCAAGGCGGTGACTGGCATTTTGTCGGCCGTCATCTGGACCAGCCTCTCCGGTTTCATGTCCTTGCGGAACTGGTTGAGGCGTTCATCGCGAGCGGCGGATGCCATGGCCACTGAAGTGGCATATGAGGCGACGAAAGGGGCGATGCCGAGACTGGTGAGGAGGAAGTAGGCCGTGAACCTCGTGTTGTGCCAGGCCCGATTCGCGAGACGACCCTGGAGAAGCGGCCTGGAGGCACTGGGAAAGGCATCGGGAGTGAATTTGATAAACTTGGGCTGCCAAAAAGGAAAGCGGTAGGTGCCGCGGGTTTGCCAAGTCAAGACACCGGCTAACGCAACTGTGACGGGAACAGTCCATGCCGCGGTTGCAGCTTCTTTGTAAGCTAGTTGGCTGAGGACGTTGACCTCATCCTGGGTGGGTTGGCGGCCCATGCCTGCGGCAGCGGTGTCGAGCATCGCTTTCACATTGCTAGAGTAGTTATCGGGATTGCGGAAGAGAAGGCGCTGCAGGAGTGTGAGCTGCGGCGGTGGAATTTGATAGTCGGGAGGCCCGACGATGTCTGGGCCGAAGCCATTGTCGTCGTTCGAAGTGGGGAACGCCATCTCACTGGCTTCACTGCCAGGTCTCAATTGACCTGACAAATATAAAGCGAAGCTATGAGAGGCCGGAGAGAGAGTCGAGCGATTGAGTTGGCGTCAAATCGATTGCTGAGGTTCGTGGTGGTATGGTATGGTCAATCTTCTGAGGCGGCTCACCTGTTGGTGTTCTCCAGAGTCCTGACGTAGTCGGACAGAGCTCTCAGGTGGGCAGTTGGAGCTCTAGTGGATCCACACCTGCATCGGCAGAGTGGAGACAACGCCCCCGAACTTCCCGGGCTATCGGCAGAGAGTTTCTCCATGTCGACTTCGGGACGCCGGGGCACGCGCTGCACCGCCATTCCGTGTCACCGGTGTATCGCCCAATCTGGTCATTGGGCATTTCCCTTCTCGCCTGATACTCTGTAGCAACGAAGCGGAGAGCGACATCAATACGGTCGATGCTTGCAGTATCTAGCAAGAGATATAGACCTTCAGGATAAACGGAGAAAAGGTGGCTAAGCCGCCTCTGCACTTGATTAACAGTGGTTGTGTAAAGGAATGTATCATGTGTAGTTGGTGGTAGCCTAGGTATTTGACAGTCAAGTCAATCCAGCATGCATGTGCGAATAAGACGGGGATGAATGGAAATCTTGAGTAAGTACCTAAACGTCAGCCAGGGTACTACTATCCGTAGAGACGAAGTAATTACGACTATGAAAATCCAGGTACGAACACACGGACAGGGACATTACCTTCCACTCCACACATTATGCGAATGCAAGACATCCCGCAATGATCTCAATTGGGCTTGCCCAAGGAGCAAAGTCGATGTGGGCGGAGATGGACTTGTTCGTTGCAGGGGCGATGACCCTGCGCGTCCACCATCAGGTCCTCCTAATGCCCCACATACCACCGGGAACGTGCATCGACGCGTATTAACCAAACGTGGAGTTAGAACGCGTCCCGAGCGCGTCGAGGGACAACCACTCTAGCACTTCCTCGAGGGGCCCAACTGCCTCTTCGCACCCTTGCACTGACATGATTGGAACTAGCGAAGACGTTCACGACCTCTTGTTTTTGGCATTCGAGAAGCCAAACCCGCCGATATGCCTCTCAAGAAGTCATACTCGGAACATGTTGGTCTCCCATCAAAGGTCAATAGGAAAGCATACCCCTCCATGCGATGTTTGCTGACTTTGTCATAGAACCGCTCGTGGCAACGTTCGAAGAGCAATCCAGTGAATGCCCAAACGTATCGACCTTTGGCGCCCGTTTCCGACAAAACGAAAAGCAAGCTAAACCAGTTCCAATTCCAGACTGCAGTCAAGTCAGAGACTGCCGAGCAGGAAAATGGCACCGCAAAGGAAGATTGGGTTCGCCAATCCCGAGACGATATCGCCATCACCCCTTCGACGAAGCTGAGTTGGCACGACCTGATGGCGTCGAACGCTCCCAAGGAAGAAAAAACACAAACATCCCCTACTGAACGAATCCTATGGAACAATGAAAGGGACAAGAACGACCTAAACTACGCTGCTGCCCTTTCGCCAATGATGCATAGGAAAGGCCGTAAACGGGCCAGGAGCTCGTCACCCATATCATCCCCCGCACAAAACGAAAAGCCTACGACGCCTGCTGTCAATGTGAAGAAGCTGAGTGAGGCACTAAAGTCGCCACACGCAGACCCGACCTTGGAACTCTGGGACCGATTCTCTCTTACCAGTAATGGAAATGTGACGCCACTCGGTCTTACGAACCCCACGCTCGCCAATCTCATGTTCTCTTCATCACCACGGAATGTCAAGACGGCACCTGCACAGGCAGGCGACAGCAGCCTACGAAGGGCAATCAGTTGCGGTCTCAACTGGCCAAAGAGAAGAAGAGTTGAACGCTCGGATGCGCCCTCGTTTACTAGCACATTGACGCGAGAGACGACCGATAGTTCAAAGAACTCACTTGTAACAGCTCTATTGGACACAGTTACTGGAAGCATGCAAGAAGACAGCCCGCCAGAGGAATTCGATCCGTTCATCGACCAGGATATGGAGTCTCCATCTTTAAAGAAGAGAAAGACTAACGCATTGAGGCCGCCATCGCTCTCACCGTTGAGGAAAACAACCCGAGCCCCGAACCAACAGCCTGCAGGAAATACTTCTGATATCGGTGTCGCCCAGGATCTTGGGCTGGAACAGCAAACAAAAGCGGCTTCGGCGGAGTCTGACTACGGCGACGTAGATTTCGACGACTTCGACGACTTTGATGACGACACTTTCCTCGAGCTTGAAGCAAGCATCAGTCTATCAAACTCCAAGCAAGAAGCGAGACCAGGCACTCCTACCCCCGCACCTGTTTCTGTGCAACCCAATAAGCAAAGCAGCACTGGCTTAGACGATGAGTTTGGTGACTTGGACGATGACATTTTTGAGGCTGCCGAGGATATTCTGGAAAGCGCAGTAGCGACGGCATCCCAATTGCCGGCGTCTGCAAACTCACATCTTGGCGCAGCAAGCGTACCTGTCTCTAGACAAGACGACTTGGAAGATGCCTTTGGAGACGACTTTGGAGGAGACTTCGACTTCGATGCGGCAGAGCTCGCTGCGACTCAATCGGTCCAGAAGCCACAAGCCTCGCCGGCGGAAGCTGTACGTCCCAATCAACGACTACCACGGTAGCAAACGCTAAGATGAAGGTAGACAAACCAAAAGCCCAAAGCTATCCAGCGATATCTGGTGACCAATGTCCTAGAAAACGAATACACTGATGAGCGTGGGCTTTCTCGATTAGAGAAGGTATGTTGATCAACTTGATCCAACAACAATTGCTGACCTGTGGACAGATCCTTACCATTCAAGCCGAAGGTAGCAAGGCCATGAAAACGATCCACCTTCGAGGTGATTGGTTTGAGACGCCGGCACACGCAAAGGCGTATGTGCATGTTATCGGAACGTTTTCAGCCAGTGGACAATGCATCATTGACGATTCGCACAATATCTTGATCCTACATCCAGATCAGTTGGTATCAGCCACCGTCGTGGCTGATTCATTCAGCTGCATGCGCCGAGCAGTATTACAAGACCGCGTCAAAGCGACCAGCGAGGCTACTGCTCCCTTGGTGTATGGAACGATGTTGCACGAAATCTTTCAGGAGGCTCTAATGGCGAATCAATGGGATCTTCGGTACCTCAGTGGTGTCATTGACAGAGTCATGGAGAAGCATATCGAGGACTTGTACAAGATCAAAGTCAGCACCAGCATCGCCAGAGAACATCTCCAGTCGAAGATGACGGAGTTGAGCTGCTGGGCCACCGCTTTTGTAGCCTCTCAGCCGAATGTATGTCATATCTTCCTCTCTCTCTCGTGATAGTCACTAATATTAGCCAAAGCTCGATGCTATTGTTCTCGACCGCAATGGCAAGAAAGCCAACATGTGCGTCAGTAAATTGCTCGATGTCGAGGAACATGTTTGGTCGCCCATGTATGGACTGAAGGGCAACATCGATGCTACCGTCCAAGTCACCTTTAAGGATGGCAAGGATACCAAGACGCTAACCGTCCCATTCGAAGTCAAAACGGGCAAACATGCCAATAGCAATCACATGGCGCAGACTGCGCTCTATAATCTGTTGCTTTCCGATCGATACGACCTGAACATTGTCTATGGCATTCTCTACTATATGGAAACGTCACAAACAATGCGCATTCCCACTATCCGACACGAACTACGCCATATGATCATGCAGCGAAACCAGCTGGCTTGTCACATTCGCGAGCGAAGTGTCCAGCTGCCTCCTATGAAGAGGAGTAAAAATATGTGTGGAAAGTGCTATGCAAAGACGTCTTGCTTCATTTACCACAAGCTTGCTGACGACGGCGATGGAGAGACGAGCGGCATGGACAAGCAATTCGACGAGGTTGTCAAGCACCTTACACCAAAGCACCAAAGGTTCTTCCTCAAATGGGAGAATCTGTTGACGAAAGAGGAGAAAGAGACACAGAAGCTGAAGAGAGAACTCTGGACGATGGTCAGCAAGGACCGAGAGAAAGTGGGAAGATGCCATTCCGACGTCATCATTGAAGAGGGCTCAACGTCTGAGGACTTGGGCACTTCCAAGATCAACCGATTCAACTATACCTTCGTGAAGCGAATTGCGACTCCAGGCCATTCTTTCCTAGAGTCACAGCTGAATGTCGGAGAGCCTATAGTTGTTTCCGATGAACAGGGCCACTTTGCTCTGGCTTTGGGCTACGTTACTTCTGTTCGAAAACAGAGAATCAGCGTAGCAGTCGACCGGCGCCTACACAACGCCCGCATCAAGCAGCCTGGCTTTGACGAAAACGACAACCAGGTTTTTGCTAGCATCATGGAGGTCGCCCCAGAGGGCTGCACCGCGGATCAATCCCAGGGCAAGATCAAGGAAGCGCCAATCCGCTATCGCCTTGATAAGGACGAGTTCAGCAATGGTATGGCCACAGTCCGAAACAACCTTGTACAGACCATGGCGGAAGGCGTCTTTGGGTCTCGAGAGATCCGCCGCGCTGTGGTAGACTTGGTACCACCGAGGTTCAAAGCAGCACCTACGCAATACGTCGTAGCCGATCGGGAATCTCTGAATGTTGACCAGCACCGAGCGATTGAGAAGGTGATGAGTGCACAAGACTATGCGCTAGTTCTTGGCATGCCTGGCACCGGAAAGACGACCACCATTGCACACATCATTCGGGCTTTGGTCTCTCAGGGCAAGAGCGTCCTTCTTACTTCTTATACACACACTGCTGTCGACAACATCCTCCTGAAGCTCAAGAACGACCAAACCCCGGTTCTCAGACTTGGTGCTCCAGCCAAGGTTCACCCGGAGGTCCAGGAATTTGCCATCCTGGCTGGCCAACCTATGAACTCTTTTGAGCAGATCAAGGAGGCGTGGCACGACACACCTATCGTTGCCACCACTTGTCTCGGCGTTGGCCATGCTCTCTTCAATGAACGCACTTTCGACTACTGCATTGTTGATGAAGCCTCGCAGATCACACTGCCCATTTGTCTGGGACCAATCAGGATGGCGAAGACTTTTGTACTTGTTGGTGATCACAATCAGCTGCCTCCTCTAGTTCAAAATGAAGAGGCTCGAGAAGGTGGGCTTGATGTGAGCTTGTTCAAGCTTCTCTCCGACACGCATCCAGATTCGGTGGTCAACTTGGAGCATCAATATCGTATGTGTGAGGATATCATGACTCTCAGCAATACTTTGATCTACAAAGGACGATTGCGATGTGGTACTGAGGAACTTCGGTTCAAGAAACTCGATGTGCCCAACATGAATGCGCTGAAGAGCCTTCATTACGACTCGGCATCGATGCTCAGACCAGAGACTCCGAAGTCTGTGTGCACCTCCATCAACCAAAGTTGCTGCTGGCTCCGAGACTTGCTGGACAGCGAAGCTCGAGTCAGGTTTGTCAACACCGATACCATTCAGCCCCTTACGAGAGAAGAGGCGAAGGGCAATCGGATTGTCAACCCGGCCGAAGCACGCATCGTAGTTCAACTTGTCGAGGGCCTCCTTACAGTAGGTGTACCCGACGGGGAGATTGGAGTGATGACGCACTATCGCTCTCAACTGTCTTTGCTAAAGCATGGCCTTCGTGGGCATGTGGGCGTGGAGATGCACACCGCCGACCGATTTCAAGGACGAGACAAGGATGTAGTAATTCTCTCCTTGGTTCGGAGTAATGAGAGCTGCAGCATCGGTGAACTCTTAAAGGATTGGCGACGTATCAACGTCGCATTCACTCGCGCTAAAACCAAGCTGCTTGTAGTTGGAAGCAAGAGCACTTTGAAGGGTAGCGGAAAGGATGAGATGCTCAGCAAGTTCATCGGCCTTATGGAAGAGAAAGATTGGATCTACGACCTGCCGCCAGACGCATTGGACAGCCACTTTTTTGACGATACTGCGACACAGTTGACAGCCAGCGGTGTGTCTCCGATGAAGCCGAAGAAGAACACCAGTCCGAGAAAGGGCGTCAGTCCAAGAAAAGCCCCAAAGCTGGCCTTGGGGAAGGAAAACTTTCGACCGGAGCCTAAGCGGGCAAGAATTGGAGAGAGGGCACTTATGAAGGATAAAGTCATTCTCAGGGATATACTTAACGATATGACGAACGGTGCTTATTGAGAATATTGCACAGTTTGGAGTATCGGCAATGGGTTCAGGATTATGAGGTATTAGGCGTTAGTTGGACTATCAAGACGGAAATTCAGGACGTCGAGGGGTTCACAAAGAAAAGAATCAAAGGTCAACTCATCAATGGCATTTCGTACAATAATCATATGACGAGACTCTGCAAATCATTGTTCCCGAGTAACAGGGAGTCGCATAAGAGCCGTCCACCAATCAGACGGTCACTGCAATGTGTCAACCGTTCGGAAACTTGATCTCAACGGAGAGGTTTTGACGCAACTCGATATCAGAGCAAGAAAAACTACGGAACCCATTCACGCCATCAAATGCTTCCGTCAGTATTCAGGATCATCCCGTTGAATGACGAAAGAGGCAAGCACTTGCCGGGGTTCAGCTGCTCGACGCGGGAGCGGATCGGGTGGAGTCGGCAATGTGCACGTGATCATGGATGACTAACGATCCCGACATGGGTCCAAGAATCCAACTCCAATCCAGCAACCTCATCCGTGAGTGCCAAACGACTCAACAGCCGAAGTACCGCGCGCCCGCGAACGCAACCCTCATCCGCCCCTCACCCATCACCGAAAAGACGTCAATTGAGACGTCCTTACCTCCACTCGCTTCTCTCTCGAAAAAAAAACTACCTTTCTTCCCGACCCGACGATGACGGCGATACGACCGACCGCGGCCATCCGCGCCGCCCGCGCCATCAAGACCTCTGCGGCCGCCGCCCCGACCACGAGGGCTTTCTCCGTGACGGCCCGCCGCGCTGGCGGCGGTTCCGACTTTGATCCCCCTTCCGGCTGGCTCTGGGGCGTCAAGCCCGGCGAGAAATACGAGAAGGAGGGCTGGGAGACGCCTTTCTACACCCTGTTCTGCGGAGGCATCATCGCCACTGGCGTTGTCCTTGCTTTCAAGCCTGATACTTCGTGAGTGGCCATTTCTTTCTGCCGCATAGGTCCCGTCGACGTGGAATTCATGGAGTGATACTTCAAAAATCCATGCCCAAAGCCTGGGGCTTTCGGTATCGGTTGTGCCGGAATGAGGCAATTTAGATATCAGTATTGATTGATCTGCGGCTAACGTTACCCGCCCGCACTCTAGACTCGATACCTGGGCCCTCGAGGAGGCCAGGCGGAGATTAGAAAAGGAGGGCATTCTGCCGGACCCCGAGAAGTGAAAAGGGAAATTTCAATTCCTGCGACCACTTGCCATGAACAAACCACCGAATCAACTTTTTTCTTTATCTGGAGCTTGGTTTTTGAGACATATCACCTTAGAAAGGATCGGAACGGAAGACACAAAGAAAACCGAGCCGCGAGGATGGAAGATGATGTTCTAGAGAAAGGATGGAGCGGAGAGACGGGGAGAGAAAGAAATATCTCCACAGAAGGGGAAAGCAAGCTCGCTGTCGATAAACTCTCACGGCAACGGTGTCTCTCTCTATTTCCCTGGGGAAAAGTGTATATAACCTGCCCTTGAACTAGCTTTCCTTTTTTTTCACCGCCCTTTTTTTCACTCTTGTTCTGTGAGGGCATTTCGATCTTCGTGAGCCTTTTGCAATGACTAGATTTGCTTTTGATGACGCACGGCATAGGGACTACGGAGCTTCGTGACAATAGCTCAGAAATCGGCATTTGATGTTGTTGAGTATGTATCGTGAGGAAGACATTAAATAGCCCCAGTGGAACTTTTAGCAAGTGAATCTTGAGGAAAGCTGATAAAGTAACTCCATCTGGTAAGCTTCTTGATGTTTTATTCAAGCTTTTGATGTCATTTCACCACGGGACTAATGTAACCCATGGAACACATTTTATCAGTCATAGAAGGAGAGTGGTGGGTTATCGCCGATGCCACACTCATTCACTATCAGAATTGAAGCAAAGCCTTTCTTTTTTGAAACAATCATATTGCACGCTTCCCGTTTGGATATCTACAAGTCTACATGCCGTTCTGACAACCAAATTTATGCAGCAACATCCGGAGCAATGTAGCTCCACTCGTGCTCCTCGTCGCCATACTGCCTCGCCTCCATCCAGCCCTTGATTCTCAGGGTGATCTCGCCAGACTCCTCGGCCTCGGTCAGACCGCAGTTGATGGACTTGCCCTTCCAGGCAATGGTGCGGATAGGGCTGACAATGGCAGCGGTACCGGCACCAAAAGCCTCAATGAGGCGGCCCTCCTCGGCCGCCTCGTCGAGCTCCTTCATGGTGTACTTGCGCTCCGAGACCATCCAGCCCTCGGGCACGAGCCTCTCGCGGGCGAGGGACAGAACGGAATCGCGCGTGACGCCCTCGAGGATGGTGCCGTCGAGGGGGGCGGTGACGAGCTCCTTTTGGCCCGTCTCCTTGTTCTTGATGGCGGCGAACATGTTCATGGTGCCGACCTCAGTGACATACTCCTCCTCGCCAAAGAGCCACAGGTTCTGCTGGTGGCCGCGGCTGGCGGCCTCGAGCTGGGGCACGATGCAAGGGGCGTAGTTGGCGCCGAGCTTCTTGTCGCCGACGCCGCCGGGCCAGGCGCGGACGGCGTAGTCGGTGGCCTCGAGGGAGACGGCCTTGAAGCCGGTGGGGTAGTAGGGGCCGACGGGGGAGGCGATGACGTAGAGCAGGGCGGAGCCGGGGGGACCGACGCCGAGGGTCTTTTGGGTGCCGATCATGGTCGGGCGGAGGTAGAGGGAGTAGCCGCGCTCGTCGGGGATGTAGTGCTTGTCGAGGTTGACAAACTTGGAGATGAGCTCGATTAGGGAGGTGGGCTCGAAGGTGGGTAGGGCGATGCGGGCGGCGGACTTGTTGAGGCGGGCCATGTTCTTGTCGGGGCGGAAGAGCCTGACCTGGCCGGACTTGTCCTTGTAGGCCTTCATGCCCTCGAAGCACTCAAAGGCGTAGTGGAAGACGCAGGTCGCGGGGTCGAGAGAGAGATTCTGGTAGGGGACGATCTTGGGATCGAGCCAGCCCTGTTCTTGGTTCCACTCAATAGTGAGCATGTGGTCTGCGGTGAACGGTTAGCAATTGCAAAATAGAGTGATGGGGAGTTGAGTAGAGGAGTGCTGACCAGTGAACTTGCGGCCGAAGACGAGCTCCTCGGGGTTGCCCAGCGTTCCGGGGTTCTTTGTCTTCTCAATGGTGAGTTTCGAGGCATCGAGGCCCAAAGGCTTGGCCGCGGAGGCGGCGGCAGGCTTGACACTGTAGAGTCTTGCTGATTGCCATGCGGTGGCTAATCTGGGAGAGCTGCGGGGGACTCTAAGAGCGCCGGCGGCGCGGGGGAAGAACTGTCGCATCATGGCGATCGGTCGGTTTGGTGTTTTGGATTGGGTATAAAGCAGAAAGAGAAAACAAAAGGAGGTTAAGAATTTTCTCGAAACCTTAAACACAGGAACGAAGATGCTCAGATAAATACCAAGAGATGGGAGAGCAAGTGTGACTCTTTTTTAAAAGGAAACCGAGATACCAAATACTCAATTGCGGTCAACGGTGAAACCAATTGACCAATTCAATGCTTGATAAAGGACGGGCAAGTGTAGTAGGGCGAAGGGCGCAATTTGCGGATGGCGTGTAGGGTGCGGCAGGAGTCAGGATTTCGGAGCGTTATCGGACTTCTAAGCCGTTGCTTTCCATGCGCCGCCAGATCCAGAGATCCAAAATTGTCCTTCAGGGTCCCGGCTCCGGAAGCGTCCCGCTATCTGAGGTGCAGCAGTGCATGGCAGCATGGTCAGCACGCAGTACGTACCTTTCAGGTACTGATTCCATGATGGTGGAGATGATGTAAGGAGCCAAGCTGTCCCAAATGGAAGACCTTCTCCATAGCTTAGGTCAGCCATCCAATTGGTCCAGTGTCTTCCGTGCTTCCCCCGTACCCCCAAAGCTGCGACCAGAAGGTGGGCACCCCCAAGCTCAGTGCAGGTAACAAAGGTGTGCCCAACTTATTTGAAGCCGAGCCTTACTGTGGTAAGGTACCTCAGACGCAGGGGTGGGCACTGGCAACTGTGGGATCATCGCTAAAAAGCATGGATGGTCATTTTGATTGGACTTGAGACGCTCTTGCCTATCAGCGACGTGGAAGTCGACGCGGCTGAACGAGGACATCATCTTTGGGCCAACTTGCCAATTTTATGTCACTGCGCCCTGCGTCTGTTGTCTTTTTTGTATTCAAGCCCACACAAACTCCCGGCGCATCTCCGGAAGCTTCCTCGACAAAGCCTCGCTGGAAATCCCTCTCGACGTTTACAAAGTCTCCCCTCCACAGTACCCTGCACTACCTAGTTGCTCGTGGACAAAGACTACCTTCCTTCCTCTGGGTGCGGGCGCGATTGACTTGACGAACGTCCCGGCTTGGCGCAAATCTCATATCTGCCTCCGAACCGTCATGACGATCGAGTCCCCTCAAGTTCCGTTCCCTCCGCCTTGACGACGACGTAGACGATCCACGTTATAAGACACACCACAATCATGTTCTCCTCGGCACTCAAGTCGATATCATCGACCAACATCACCGCGAACTACTCTATTTCCTCGACTCAGACCTCGTCTGCCGGCCCATGGAAGATTTACGATTGCAAGAAGAAATCAACAGGGAAACCATACAGCGTATTTGTGTTTGATAAGAAGGGACTCGACAACCATGGCAGCAGTCTCGGCAGATCGAGCGCGTCCGCCTTCAAACGAGCCACGGAGGAGGTTATCGAGCGTCTGAAGAAAGAAGCCTCCAGCTTGGCGAAGCTGAGACACCCGAGCGTTCTCGAGCTTGTCGAACCAGTGGAGGAAACAAGAGGTGGTGGACTGCAATTCGTCACGGAAGCTGTCACGGGCTCTCTGGCGGCTCTGCTGCAAGAGAAGGACGATCAGGAACGGAGTGGTGGGGTTGGCGGCCGGTCCAGTCGCTATGTCACTGAGGATTCGGATGGTGTGCGCCGGCGGCGCGAGTTGGAGATTGACGAGCTCGAGATCCAGAAGGGTCTCTTGCAGATCAGCAAAGCCCTGGAGTTTTTGCACGAAAACGCTGGGTTAGTGCACGGTAACTTGACACCAGACGCCATTATCGTGAACGCCAAGGTCAGTTCAGCCTATTGGTCTTGATAGCTACACGCTGTTGCTGACTCGAAACAGTCCGATTGGAAAATCAGTGGCCTCGCCTTCTGCGCGCCGTCAGAAGGGTCCAACAAGCCGACCTCCTTTCAACCCATCAGCCTATCAGAGGTGCTCAACCCAGACCCTCGACTGCCTCGATTTGTGCAGCTTAACCTCGACTACACCTCTCCTGACTTTGTCATTGACAACAACTTCACCCATTTTGCCGACATGTTCTCATTAGGTCTCCTAGCCGTGGCCCTTTACAACTCACCCCATCAGTCTCCCATAGAAGCTCACGGCAGCTTATCAACATACAAGAGAACATTCGCCTCGTCATCCACAGTACCATCTGCCACAAACCAATTCTTATCATCACGGCCTTTGCCCAAAGAGCTGGTTCAACATGTTTTGCCGCGCCTGATAACACGACGACCTGCTCAGCGTCTCACAGCAAAGGAATTTCAAGAGAGTGAATACTTCAACAACGTGCTTGTTTCGACAATCAGGTTCTTAGACGCTTTCCCTGCCAAAACTCCAAACGAGAAGGCTCAGTTCATGAGGGGACTAGTCAAGGTTATGCCATCGTTCCCCAAGACTGTTATGGAGAAGAAGTTGTTGCCAGCGTTGCTTGAAGAGATGAAAGACAAGGATCTTATCGCTTTGATTCTTCAAAACGTCTTCACCATCGTTGATTTACTGCCTTCTGCGAGGAGGGTCTTTGCCGAAAAAGTACGGCCAGCATTGAAAGCAACATTTGCCCCACCTCCGAAGAAGGATCAGGCCCCTGAGAGGGACCCGACGAAGGATGCTGGGTTGATGGTTGTGCTCGAACACATGTCAACAATCTGCAACAACTGCAATGGCAAGGAGTTCACTGATGGTAAGAAACGCCACAACATCAAAGAGTCTGGCGAGGCATACTAACAACTACATAGATATCTTGCCGGTCGTCTACGCAGCAATAGAAGCACCAACACCGGCCGTTGTTGACGCGGCTCTGAGAGGTCTGCCGTCTATTCTACCAGTTCTCGACTTTAGCACCATCAAGAATGAGCTATTCCCGGTCATTGCGGCCGTGTTTAGCAAAACGAGCAGTTTGGCCATCAAGGTGCGCGGTTGCCAAGCATTCGTCGTCCTGTGTGGCGGAACATCAGACGCAGAAGACGATGGCCTCGATGCTTTCGGTACTTCAAAGAAGAAATCAACTTCGTCCTCTAGCATGCTGGATAAATACACCATGCAGGAGAAGATTATCCCGTTGATCAAGGCCATCAAAACGAAAGAGCCTGCGGTCATGATGGCAGCTCATGGCGTTCTGCGAGTTGTGGGCGAAGCAGCCGATGCCGAGTTCGTTGCGATTGACATACTCCCCATTCTGTGGCATATGAGTCTCGGACCTTTGCTCAATCTCAAACAGTTCCAGAACTTCATGGACCTTATCAAGAAGTTATCCAAAAGAGTGGAAGACGAACAGACTAGGAAGTTGCAAGAGCTCTCTGGCACCAACGGCAGCACCGCCGGGGCTAATGAAGACTTTATGGCCTTTGGCGGCGTCAGCGGGACCTCTTTTGATGCTTCCAATGGAGCGACAGAAGACGATTTCGAGAGCCTCGTCAAGGGCAAAACGACACGAACTTCAACTTCGGATGCATTCTCCAGCTGGGAAGAAACTCCCTCGGCAGCAGCCAGAGTTACCTCGCCCGCGCCCGGGAGTAGGTCAGCAACCCCGGCCTTTGCGTGGTCAACTCCGAGTCCTACTCAGACAGCACCACCTCCGGCGCCTAAGCCTCAACCTAGTTTCCGGACGGTGACGCCTGACATGGGTTCTTTCCAAACCATGACTCCGACATCGACTCAATTTTCTAAACCTCTGCAGCCGACTTCGCCAATGTCGCAGCCAGCGGCACAGCCCAGTTCATCCATCAACTGGTCCACGGCGTCGGCAGCAGCTTCCAACCCGTGGTCGTCGTCGTCAACATCGACGCCGGCCTTCTCGGCCGGTAACTCCATGTCGCCACCTCCGAGCTCCGCTTTTGGTGGAATGAGCACGCCCATGTCCAACATGTCGCTCGGTGGGCAGAGACCAGGCATGTCACAGTCATCTTCGTTTTCCTTGCCGCCACCGCCAGCCGGTAATTCGACGGGTGGCTTTTCCGGATCTTCCGGGTTTAGCCTACCGCCCCCTCCCAGTCACACGCCGCCTGTGCAATCAGGCTTGAGCGCTTTCAGCAAACCTGCAGCTAGCACCAGCATGGGCATGATGAGTCAACAACCGATGAATGGTATGAACAGCATGGGCTCGCGGCCTGGTATGGGTATGAGCATGGCGTCTAGTGGTAGCATGAACAGTATGATGAACAGCAACATGGGCATGAACGGCATGGCTGGCCTTCAGCAACAGCAGCAGCAACAACAACAGCAGAAGCCCCAGCAGAAGAGCGGATTGGATAAGTACGAGAGTCTGATTTAGGGGCGGTCTTCTGGAAATAGCGCAGCTTAGGTTGCAGTCAGGGCATCCCAGAGTTGTTTACATGATACACACGAGTTGATACTTTGTAGAGTCGCGCAATTCGGGGCGTTGAGCGACCGTGCCAGATTTTCTTTCCCGGTCGGAGAGAAAATGCCAAATGATTCCAAGTTGATATACAAATGTGCCAATTACGAGCAGTCAATGGTTAAAAGTGACTCACTAAATGTTGGTGTTATTAAGATGAGTTGAAGGCGAGAAAACTGTCACGACTCAAGGTGTTACGGATTGCGTGATATCAAAACCGAAAGCAAAAACGGAATTAGTGTTTGTGGGCCGAGAGTTTCCCCGCAAAGTCAAGACTTTTTCTTGCGAGTTGCGTGGACTGAACAAGTTTGTTGGCGTGGCACATGACGAACGAAAGGGACAGGTAGATTTGCCGGTGTGAAGGCTGCCAAGAACAGAGTACCGTACGTTGATAAGGTGAAGTCCGCGACGACTTTCAACCATGTTGCATAGTCCAGAGTCGCTCTGGTTGGAGAAGATGGAATTTCATTACAAGTGATAATTCGGGCATGATTATGGCACTTTGCTTGAATGAATGGTGTGTTTTGGGAAAGGAACGGATATGTTTCATGAATGGGGAGCGGAAAGGCTTGTCCATGATGCGATGATTTGCGGAGAGTGACACCTGTGGTCCCCGCTCGGAGGCGTTTAGTTACGCAAATCCATGTCAAGAGTCGCCGA